GAGGGCGGAGGACAGAAAGTGACAGAGAGCCTGATCAGAATGCGGCACAGAATGGGTGCAAGGGCAATGAGCAGAGGGTAAATGACAAGAGGTGAAATGACAGTGGGCACAGGGCGAAAGGAAGAGGGCACAGGACACGACTTATTTTATAGGGCAGCGGGCTTGAGAACGAATGAAAAGGGCTTAGCGCCGAGGAAAAGGTGAAGACTGAAGAGGGCAGAGGGCAAAGAGAAGAAGGTAGGTAAAGGTCGGAGCCCTATCAGACTGGCGTTCCTAGAGGCTTTGGAGCAGACGTGGCGCCCTCTCAAGCCAGTGTTCTTAGAGTAACGCATGCCGGTGTGGCTGTGGCGCCATCTAAGGCCGCTGACCGGTGTGAGGCTCTCCGGCCCTGTATGGGCCCTAAGGAGATGGTGATACGTACTCTGAGATTTCTTCTGGGGGCACACAGGGGCCGCTGTGGATATTCCCATGCTCGGTGTGAAGCCTTCAGAAGTTCATGTCCCTTGTTAGCCAGTGTCGCACCCTCAAAGGCCCTAGAAGGCCCTCATAGACAGGCATAGGGCCTCAGAAAGGCATGGACGCTCAGGAGGCCAGCTCAGTAGTCAGCTTAGGACCCGTTTGGGGCCAACACGGCCTTCAAAGACCGGCGTGTTACCTACCTCTATGGGCTAGTGTGGATGATCTCAACAGTCGGTGGGTGAACTCAGATGCCGGTGCTGGGCCTCCAGAGACCGTTGTGACTTGACAGGCCGTCAGGAACAGGTGGGAACCCGTCTAAAGCTAGCGTGATCCCTCGCAAACTGGCATATCTTAGAGACCAGCATGAGGCTTTCCTGGACCATTGTGCCTTCAGAGGTATTAGGCCCACGGCCCCAAGAAACCGTCAAAGCACCCTCTTGATCTTTTCTCCTTCCACCTTTCAAGCCTGTTTTCCTTTAAATGAATCGAGACCGTTCGTTTTATTCATCACCAATATTTTTTATGCGATCTGGCTCTTCACCAGAGCCGTTATACTGATCAAACGAAGATAAATGTTAAGAAGAAAAACCTGTAATCGAATATCGAGTACGTATTAAATGAGAGCACCTCATCGTACATTTAATCAACATAGAAGAAAATCAATACAACGCTCTTTCACTATGCGCATCACTATAGGTATCGGATCTTTTCACTGGGGACTATATCTATTCACCCCGAGCAATTCATCAACCATCAGCTTCACAAACAAGCGATGAAGAGCCCGACTAATTCGCGTCCATCACCGCGCTGAACATCGTTCGGTGGGTTTGCGAGCCAAGCCACGGCTTCTTTGAGCGTTTCACCTCTGAATGAAGTATGTTTGCTCAGCGTGGTTTGCCCAGCGAACGCAGAGGGGCATTGATCGCAGGTTTTCGTGTTGCCATTCATGTTCTTTGTAGTCTTTGGCGCTGTCACTGGTAGGTGGTGCGCACGACGTTCCTCTTCGGCGTTCAGTCGGACGCTGACAACGAACTGAAACGCCACGAAATATCGGTCCTCGGAGGTGTGGTGTTGGAGTCGGAGAAACGAAAGTTGTGTTCCTTCGAAACTAAATTCCAGCGTGTTTTCTGTGTTCAACCATCACTAAGCAGCATCATATGTGATTATCTGAAGAGAAGCTGGCTGCAGACAAACTATTATCTTCTGCCGAAGAAACGAAGAAAAGGAGCGCAAGGAACCTGTCAGTGTATAGGGAAGATACAGGCACTTCCCTAAAGCAAATCAACCAACAATCGGATCAATAGCTTACGAGTTACTGCAAACGCCATCACTAGCATCGTGCAAAGATGCCAACTAGAGCTCGCATTGTTCCTGTGGCTGGTGCTGGCGCGGGAGCCGAGGACGGCACCAGTTCACCTACTTTTCAGACGGCCAGCACGATACACCCAGCAGCTGCCTCTCTGCTCCGTCTGCTTCAGGTGGCCGCCTCATCAGGAGGGCCCGGCTGGAAGAGTCTATTATACGCTGGCGTTCTACATATTATCAACACGGCCACCGCCTTCTGCATGATTATGTTGATGTTCAGGACCGGATTATTTTTGCTGGACATCGGCCAGCCAGTCGCCGCGGCCATCTACCAGTCCAACTTCTTCGGGGCGCCGATGCTGGTACACTGGCTGGCCCTGACAGCCACGCTCCTCTGGGGGAGGCGTCGTCTCGCTGAGATTATCCGGAACAGCTGTGGATGTCTGGCAGAGCTGAGAGATTTCTCAGGGATGCCGGACGTGCGTCGCCGCTCAGGAAGAGTTGCCGTTATGGTGTGGATCTGCAGCATCGGCTTGACCCTCGCTACGCTCTTCATGTATTTTCTGGGATCCAACTCGGCTCAAGTCTGTAGCACTGTATTGAGCTGTAGTGTAACAGTAGCAGGAGCGCTTGGTTACACAGTGTTCACGGCTTGTTCTCTTCTCATTCCGTTGAAGTTTTTCTTCGTAAGCTATCTGATTTCTTCAGGTTACGAGATCATTCACATCGAACTCATGGCCCTGGCAGACCCGCAGTCCCAGCGTGGCTCGAAGGAGCTGCAGCGCCTCGGCGAGCTTCGAGACCGGCTCTCACTCTGCATGGCCCAGCTAACGGATGGCATGCAGACTGAGCTGGTGCTCTCCATGCTCTTTGGCATCAGCATGGAGGTAATCACCTTCTTGAAGATGATAGCGATGTTCCAGGAGCCCGTCACGCCTTCGGATGTAGTGTCGGTCGTGCTGTTCTGTGCCATCATGGGTGTAACGCTAGTCTGTCCCTGTGAGGCCGGCCAGCGGATGCTGCAGCTGACAGCTGAAAGCCGTCGGCTGTTGCTGCAGCTGGAGGGCCGCCGTCCCGAGCTGGCGAGTCAGGCGGCCCTGCTGCGGGAGGCGGCCGTCCAGGACCTGGACACGCTCGGCGACCTGGGCCTGTTCCGGCTGGAGAGGTCTACCATCGTCAGCGTCTCCTCCACCATCCTGACCTACGTCATCATCATGGTGCAGTTCGCCGCCACCGAAACTGACTCTGACTAATGGAAAAACCACAGACGAGCAGCGTGTGTTCCTCCCCACACGCGATGCTTTGCAAGATCACAATTCCAGAAAGGAGACAGGAAGGACCATAAATAGTTAGTGATGCCGAAATGATCATCCGGCAAAAAGAAGTTACAGGAAGTTACAGAAAGAAACAAGAAGTTATCACTGGTCCTTGCTTGATGACAAGCTTCTCTTTTAATCATGCGCACTACTAGGTTCGAATCAATGTCAAGCACTTCGTAGTTTCATACTCTCCTCGCGTGGTCCCACGCTTAGCTTTGAATTTTATATTTTGAATGTGATATGTGGCATCACAGAGGTCTTGGAGGTCATCGGAGTATTTACTTTTATTAGTCAATACCTAACTTTCCTCTATATTGAGTTCGCAGACAGAAATAGCCACCAATAAACTTACGTAGAATGAGGTGTCAATTTGAATGATATGCAGCATAATCCCCCCCCATGGATCATTTGCCTGACCTGACCAGCTTTGAACTAGCATTGACGGCAGACAAAAGTTACAGGTACAGCCCACCGCTATAAAAGTAATGTAGGGTTTTACCAATCTCAACGGTTGGCTTTGACTGGCGATTGTTTAATGCGGAGTGATCGAAAAGAAGATGTCAATAGCTAAAGTTGCAGCTGCAAGGGTGACGATACATATAAGCTACATTCAAAGTTTCATTGTAGTCTGGTTAATCGTTCCTAAGCTTCAGAAGCAGAACATACCCATGACTGAAACCCCACATTACTTCTGCTGTGGACTGTACTATTGGACTGCGAACTGCGAAGGCAGCAACATACAGAAACGGGATTCCACCAAAACGGTTTCTCTGTGACCATTTTTCCAAATTAGTTCCCAAAAACTGAACTTGACTTTGCCTCGCCGTGGCCTGGCCACAAAGGTCGCCGGTCGACCTGAAAACTGAAAATTGGGCACCATTTGCGACAATGTACGTTGCCCTTCACGATCGCTTTTTTCGAAGCTCTGGCTCATATAAAGACGAAACGGCGAGGGGGAATCGCACTCCTGCCTTCCCTCCCCCTCCACACACACGCACGCGCATCGCTCACTGAACTTCTTCGACAATTAGGTATAAGGAGGTCAATAAAATGTTGAGGACTAAATAAGTAATGCAATACATTTCAATGTTAAATTGTGTTTTTGCTAGTCGGGCAATAGGTATTCAAAAAATCATATTTCAATTTTTTTTTGTGATGAAGCAATGAGTCTTTCAGCTGCACCCAGGTAAGTTTAAAAAATGACCTCATAATTTGTTGGAGCTTTCTCTTCAGGTTTCTGGCTGTGCCTGTAAAGAGTAGTTAAATAAAGGGGAACGGTAGGCTGCAGTGAGATATGTGGAGTGAAGGCAGGCAGTTATCAATGTTTTCTTATACCTACCTATGCACTTGTCGCAGGATTGATAAATTGAAATTATAGTATTTAGGCACACCTCATGCTATTTCTGACATTTCTCACAACACAGACGTAAACAGCGTTTTTTAACGATACGAATGACATTAGCGGACACGTACTCACCTAATTTTATTATTGTTTGCCATTCCATTCTCTATAAGTGTTAAAAAATCCCATTATACAAATTAGCCGAAAACACAACTGCGCAGAAGCATTTACTGCTTGCGTTTTTCTTGTCCTAAAGCGATGCCGAACACATCTGGACTTTGCATTTTATACACGGACGTATAAATAAACGTTTATTTATACGTCCGTGATTTTATACCAATTTTATGCCTTGGCAGGTTTCTGTCTTGGGTTTTTGTGGAGGCTCTCTAAACTCGTGACAAGTAAGTACGCTCAGCACAGGGGACCTTCAGCTTCGTACAGTCTCCGCTCGCTGGGGGCCGGGGGGCTGCAGTGGCGGCCGCTCCGACGGCGGCGAGTAGCTCTGACCGACCAGTCTGCCGCTGACTACGCCGCTCTCCGGGTCTCCCGCACCGTCTCCCCGCACTACAGACAACATGAGGTGTCTGCTCGTCCTCACCGTGACCCTGGTGGTGACCTGCGGGGCTGGCTCGGCGGTCCAGGACGGAGCTCGTCAACAGCTCGATCTGGAGCCGATCGGTGAGCCGGGGATATTTATACGATGTCGGTGGGGCTAAAAAATTACATTTTGGCGCATATAAGTACTCATACCTAATAACTAACGTCATAGAGATATACAAACGTGTATAATGGAACATTATCGTTTCAGGGCAACCGCCTGCATTTTAAATATCACTTGGGATTACTAATCGATGCTTATAAGTCATTCTGACGAAATTTAAAATCATATTCACATAAAGAGATATATGCTCATTATTTGAACATTGAACAAGTAATGACGCTTTAGGATTCTAACATGCTTACTTTTGTATGACGTAGTGATAAGTACTGCATTATTCTCGCTCCGCAGCAGCAACGAGATAGCGCACCAATGCGCCCACTATTAGATGTTCTTTCCCAGTTGTTGCGGCCGTTGAGGAAGGATGACCGACATACTCTATATATAGTCAAAACCGTTATAACTCTCAGGTTGCGGCAAAAATTTTGTGTATGGTTTTACCATGGATAAGATAATAGGTTTTACCATACTAAATGACAGCAACGCATTTATGACATGGGTAGGTAAATAGTCGCTTCATCTGGCTATAGCAACTTTGCAAGTAAATTGTCTTTAGACCGTCTTTACCCTTTCTGACACATTATTATTTTACACTTCATTATTATGTGCACATCTGTTCATTGTTTAAAAAGCCTGCGTCACTCGTTCTTTTTAATGAATCGACGTTCAGTTTTGAATTATTGATGATAGCCCCATGGATGCGGCCTCTGACACTGCCACAAACATTTTACACCGTGACCATGTGTTGGAAAAGTAACGTGGTTAAAATTTGTTGTGTTGGTGCTTTAGCTCGACATATTGAATTATTGACTAAATATTTCTGGCAAAAAGAAGTCAAAACGATTTTTAGGCAAACTAGGAAGTCAGAATATTCGTTTCTTGGGACAGCAGGTTTGTGTCTTAGGCTGAGGTGAAACCACACAGTTCTGCAGCCTCATGCGTAGGTATTCCAACAGCAGCTATCCCGGCTATCCGATGCCTCAAAATTTTTGTGGGTACAGGAACACACAAATCTGCCGCTTCTCAGCCCAGTCTTTCAGGAAACAGGTGCCATTTGTTGGTGACCCCATCGATATGCTACGCATGTACACTCATCAAAGATCCCGCTCCGGCTCGGTGGTATGGCTAGTTTATCGCGGGAGACAACAGTCTCTGCGACGGCCGGTACGACCTTGGTGCTGCCTCACCTGTGATAAAAGGATACGGCGAGGCGTCTTCGGCAGAACGCCGCTAATTTCATCTTCCGCATCGGCTGGTTATCTAGCATTGGAAACTTCCCGAACGTCCTTGAGCGAACAAACCTCTCCACAAATAGTTTCAGGCAGGTAGCCTTGGATGGCATGGCAGATGTTTCCGCAATTGACTGGTTTGTTCATTAGTTAGTCACAGAGGCTTCCAGCAAATGAGCTAGTCAGTGACAAAACAAACGATAAAACCTTCATCAAAGACATGCAAGGCCGGTAGTGGTCTCTTCGGTGCAAGGTATGATCAATATGTGTCCTGGAATACCAATGGGATCGGTGAGATCGATATCAATAGCCGTGTTTGCGGTTATTTTTGGCTGCTAGCTGCTGCTGCCTAAGCAATGAGCACACATTTCAGGAATGTTTGCCGCATAGGTCAATGTCAGACAGCTGTTGCGCTTCTATAGCCGGAAGGTCAAGGAGCGGTATAATTGAATTGAAATTCTGACCTTCCTGACTTAGCGGCACATCTATACCGTCCCCGAATCGTGATGACCGGCGTGACGATCGTGACAAGCGTGACGAATCAGTCACCTTCGTTACGTGACGGGCATGTTGGAATTGGAATACAGCAGCGTCACTTCTTGGACAGCTGAGATCATCGTGCTGTGACGGTTTGCCGCCATCAGATTGTCATTGTGCTGCTGACTGTCTCGAAGCTCTGACCGATCGGAGCCGAGGAGGGGGAGGGGGGGGGGGGGGTTCGGTCAGGGTCGGGCCGACCACCCCACCGCCACGCCGATCGGACAGGCCCCGCTTCCAGTGGTCACGCTTCATCAGCCCAAGGCACGACGGTCGTGTCTTCTGCGGCACAGTCCGAGGTAATCCATGATGCGATCAGATGCGGTGGTGAGGGACTCCGAACACTCCGTGTTTACCATCTCAGCTCGCCATTGCGCAAGTGGCGATGAGGTTCAGGTATGAGATGGTTTGACTAGACATCTAGGTCTAGGAGATTACTAGTGAAGTGTTTGGGATTCCACGGATTGTGTAAGTCGGAGGAGAGACTACCTGACGAGTTATTACTTACTACCTTGCGCTCCGATGGAGGCTGCTACTGCTCACAAAGAGGATTGTGCTCAATAGCTGGCCATCTCTGCATATGTTCAAGGCGAGAATAGCAGTCATTGTTCCTTCTGGCATCTTTTGGCATATGGCGATTGAAACGCTATGCGCTTGATCGGAACGGAATGGAAAGGAAAGGACCTTTGATCGCCTATGGAATGGATGATGATTTCAAATTGGTTTCATTCCGCTGCTGATAATGGCATACATATGCCTACATTCGTGTAGTGTTGCAAAGAAATCCCACTTTACGAGACAAACATTCAAATCACCTGCCAAACGCTGCTCACGTTTATCTGTGGTGGTTCACATCTCAGGTGCTCACTCAGTTCACACGTAAGACCACAAAGGTGCGATCTGCAACCGATTGTTAATCCGCCAGGTCACACATACAACTGACCTCTCACGCCGCATCTGAACGCGATGGGTCACAAGGTCGACCTATGTAGGTTCATGAACGTGATCAATGCATAAGTCACACAATGTAGATCGTGCACCTCAAAGCAGCAGATTCAGAGCGTACCGAACCACAAAAACCGCATGAAGCGTCACCTCAGGCCACCCCTTTAGCCCCAAACAATGCCATCTGAGCCTCAGACTCACCCAGTTGGCGGCCGGTGCTCCCACCAATTAGATAACCGCAGTCGGCAAATATGTAACCAAATGCTGGTTAGATGAGTGTGCCAGGAATTGGTCCGGTGATGCAGCCACGTCGGAATGTACGCATATATAATTCTACATCAGCAGTCAATTACTCCCAGTAATAGCCGTTTTCACGACGGGCTATCCGGCGAGTAATTTGACTAAATCTGCACCTAATCTCTTTTACAGCAAATATCTTTATTTTATGATTTTATTTCAGTGTTTTAATCGATGATACTCTCTGATAATATGACAAAGCAGGCATATAAACAATTAGTGCAACCCTAGCTGATAGCTACTAAGAGACACACTGAACCTAATTTGACCAAATTTGCACCTAATTTGCACCAGATGTGCACCAAATGTGTACCAGATGGCCGTCGTGAAAACGGCTAATATCGACCGAGAGCCTAGCTGGCCGTCCTACTCTTAGCTCCGAATGACAATGGCTGCCGACCGCGATCTACCAACAATTGTCCTCCATCACCTACAACCTCACACCGCCCAACATATCGTCAATCGCCACAGTCCACCGTCCATCCAATCGTCTTCTGGATTCCATCACCCCCTATCATGGATGCCGTCCACCGTCCTCTGTACAACTACACACTGCCCAAAGCCCACCATCCACCCACATCCCACCGTTCACCGTCCACCGTCCGCTGTCCACCGTCCAAAGCCCACCATCCACCGTCCACCGTCCACCGTCCACCGTACACGGTCCACCGTCCACCGTCTGCCGTCCACTATCCACCGTCCGCCGTCCATCGCCGCCCATTGTTGTTGTCCGTCAGATTTAATGTTCCGTGAAGGCCGTCGGTTGAAATGTGGAGCTGTATTGCCGAGATGTAGTAACGCAAAGGCTACGTCCCGTGGTTGTAGGTATGGTATGCTCAACGCTCAAGAGTACGTGCCGCCTAGTAGTCGATAAAATAATGCTAACAATTCGGGTCTAATGGACTCAGATGATCAGAGATTAGATTAAAAATCACGTTATGAAGCAGAGGAGTCGTTTTAAGCTTGAATGAAGAAGGAGAAGGACTTCAAGCGATGAGGGATCTAATAAACCATTTGATATTTTGGCTACCGTCTTTTTTATCGCCGAATGATGGCTGGGGGTTGACGTCACATTGCTAATTGCCATCATTTGTGGACTGTTTGGAGCGGAACACTGACACAATATGTGCTATTACGTGACAGTGCGCAATTTTTAGTCCTTCTTTGATCGATGGCTGACTGTTCGGTCTCTGACGCAATAGTTCACACGGTGAGCTGTCTATAGTTTCTTGAGATGCGTACCGCACGTGTGATGTGAGTGCCGCCCCAAAATCACAGGCATCCCAGGTAGCTCTCGGGTGGTCGTCTTGCGAAATTGCACCCTGACGTAGTAATTTTAGGTATACTTCTGTTCGGAGGAAGCGCCGAGCTATGTGATTTGGCTGGGAATTATTTTGTATTTCTTATCTTTACGTGAATAACAACACTAATTATGCCCACAACACTAATTATGCCCCCCTTAAAATATTTTATGGGTGCAGTCTCAAATATTGCTAGTCAAAAAATGTTTGAATGATTTTTTTTTCGGATTGCCACCGAGTCTTGTCGTGGAATGAGGTGTGCTTCGTCGGCGAATATGTCTAATTTTACAATATGTCTAATTTCATGTACTGTAGCATGAAATTGATCGGTAGGAAGCGATTGTGTGACACCTCCGAGCTAAACCGAGACGTACTTACGAGAAGTTCTGTGCCCGATCGGTCGGGACGCAGTCACGCAGGAGCACTTCTGGGCACTCAGAACTGGCATGTGTATAATGCAAGGTGCGGCGCTTGCGCCATAGGCCTCCCTGAGTGATGACGTCAGAGGAATGTCCCACAGCCCAAATCAGGCGGCCTCGGGCCGTAGCGGACAGCTGCCTTTCGGTCTGGTGTATAGTCAATGGTGGCAGTGATTTGCCAGATTTGTTCGACCTGACTAGTGACTAGGTCACTATATAAACGGTGAGGACC